TAGTTCGGGGGGGTTGAAACATTCTACTTACCTGTAATTGTAAATATTACAATATATTTCCCATATTCATGCCTGGATCTTGTAGAATCGTGTACCAAGATTTCAGACACCCCTAAAGTGGACCGTACCATTTCTTAACCTTGACTTTAGCTGCACATCTTGTCTGCCTACCTCACTCCCATTGTGGCTCATGTCCTGAAGTCTCTGCTCTCGTGCATGTTTGATACACTTTACTTTCTTACCTTCAAAGAGTCTGATTTAAATTGTGTCTATGGATGAATGCTAATGTTAGTTAGCTAGTTTCTTTAAGCTTTAAGTTACAGTTTAGCAAACCAATGTTAGCTAGTTTCTAGCTTTTGCTTAAGTTACAGTTTAGCTAACTAATGTTAGCTAGCTGATAATATGCACTTTCATTTCCAATGTTGGCTTTGCATTTCATTAAAAAATATAATTGATTGGTCAATATATGATCGTAATGTTAACAAACAATGGTGCTAAGTCATGAGTGGTGAGAAAATGGAGGATTTGTTGCTGTAGAGATACAGTTTTGCCATCAGTATAGTTTATTATTTCATTTTAGAAACCCTTTTGTGGCTGTGGTGTAATTTATAATAGTCACCCCTTTCTTCTCTCTCAGGAATCCAGGAATTTAAGTTATAATTTTGAGGTACTTAACTTGAGTATTTCCATTTAATGCTACTCTACACTTCCACTCCTACTTTTCAGAGGGAAAATTGTACTTTCGACTCCACTAACATTTATTTGAGTATTTAAACTAAGCAAAATACTGTAAGACTGTAAACACTTCACTGAAGCACCTGTATTGGGTTCCTTTTCCCCCCCTGGAGAAAAAGTTGACCCCCTGATTGTCACTTTATAGTTGCACTCTGCTCTAAAGCTGATATCAACCTTAACCATCCTCTTGGACACTGGAGATCAATAGAGGTCAAAACATTATGTGTGTGCTTGTATCACTTGATATTAAATGAAACAGGTGCTGGCGTGTCTCCTCTCGCCTCATGCTGTTGACTGAGTTTGTCTCTCCTCCAATCCGATCTAGCTGTGTGTGCTTTTTTTCTTTCCTTCTGTTACTTTATCCATGTGTTTAGCACTTTTTCATGATTCCTGGAGCCAACAGTATATTTGCCTCTCTTTCTTTCTCTTCCTGACAGTCTGTCTGCACACACACACACACAGACACACACTCACACACAGTCTCCTGCGTGTCATGTTGTGACCAAATGATAACCTACAGTCCCTCTAGAATGGCGATGTCCAAGGTAACAACAGTGTGGTCAGGGTCACACTGCCTCTTGTGTGATTGTGTTTGTTGTGTGTGTGTGTGTATGTGTGTGTGCGGTGTGTGTGTTGTGAAGCCTAGCAAGAGGTGTGATTGCAAGACAGGTCTCAAATCACCCTTAATCTCCAGGGAAAAGGTCAAATGACTCCCTCTCTCTCACATCATGTGCACATGTATGTGTGGACCTCTCCACAGGACACCTGTGGTGTCTGAGAGATAAATGTAAGCCCATGCAGTATTCACATTGACAGCCAGTCACCTGTGAGTGTGCTATCAAATAAGCTACAGATGTGTCCTTGATTTTCAGGAGCATTCAATTGAAAACCATGGCAACTGCACTTTGTGTAGTGAATAATACAGGGAACCAGATATTCCATGTATGGAATACAAAAACAACCTGATCAAACATTTTCAGGCTCTTTTTGAAAAAACAGCAATTATTCTCACAAATCACTGTTTCCTGATCTGCTTCCACTGTAATCAGGTTTTTGTTTGTTTTGGCACAGAAAAGTACTGCTTAGGGAAAAATCTTGTTTGGGGGTAAAAAACAACTACTTGGTTAACATTTGATCTTAACGCTGGAGGAGACTGATTCAAACTTCAAAACTTTGGTCTCTCATGTCATATGTGGAGTTTTTGGTTGATGCATTCATCCCACAGACATCCTCCTCCAGGGACTTTCAGGTGCTATAACAATGACACACTACGTCTGCCTTAGTTCCTGACAAACAAGATCATAGTTCAGACTAGTTCAGTCTTGACAGAAAACCACAGAACACACAGGGCCTGTTTTATCAAACCTGCAATAACATGTTGTGAACACAACACTGACATATTATTACTTTTTAAGTTGATATGACAGCAGTCATGGAGCATATTGTCATTCACTGAGCTTATTTGCTCTTCATTTTTTTCTGAAATGCTATAAGATAGTTACAGTAAACCAAAAGTAGGTAGGTTAATCACTATTAGGGACCATTGTTTTCACATTCTCATTTGATGGAGTTAGTAATAAAAAATATCAAATATTATTATTATTATGATACTTTAAAAAAGACTTTAAGACCATTCTATCCAGTCACTGACTTTAAATTGTAGAATAATAATAATAGATAACAGAGGGAACTGAAGATTTTTTATGTCACGTATTTAAAGATTGTCACTGCCCATAGACCACCAGCACTCTCAGACCAATACAACACTTCGTCAGTCACAGCACCAGCCTCCGTTCATCCCCTCTCGCTCCCTTCAATGTTCTCAGTCAGCAAAGTGTTACGCAGTATTCATTTTAGACTGCCAAGATAGCATTATGACGAAAAGAAGCCATTTAAAAGTGTATTTAAAGCTTATAGATGCAACATTCACTGCCAGTAGATGCCACTAGAGCAGCGGCATCACAGAACAAAACAAAAGCTTCGTCACCTCCCACGTTCCTTGTGTGTCTCAGTAAGATGTTACGAACCCTGCACAACACACAGCAAGAAACACAACTGAATAAAGTAATGCTGTGAACACGAGAGACAACAAAAAACAATCCAGCCACAGCCATTAGCCCACGCTAGCATTGCCGCTAAACTGTATGCTCCACAGCAGTAAGCCAGCTAGCGATTAGCAACATTTGCCGAACAAATTCAAAATGAGGGTAACAGCAAGTCCAGTTAACGTGATCATGCTTACTGTAACGCCGGTCCTAATGAAAACAGACGTACCATTATGTAGCCATGAAGTTGCTTACAACTGGAGGAGAGAGGAAAAGCCAGTTCTGAGTCAGCAGGCTT